TATCATTTTATTAATAAATTTAAAACTTAAGAATTTTACATTTATTGTTGATTAAAAGTTAGCTAAAAATTAAATGTTTGCTTTATCATAATAAAACAACTTGTTAGATCGTTTAAAACTAGATATCAATTTAGAAAATTTGTTTTAATAATTCAAAATACAAAGCATTTGCACGACTGGTATTCACTGTGTATTTGTTGTAAACTATAATGATTTGTTTGACAATTAAATAATTTAAATAAAATCAACAATTTAAATGACAATTAACAAGGGATTAGAATTACAAAAACAATGTATGAGCATAATTAGTTGTAAATTAAATTATCTATTATATTATTCATCACATATTTAAAATATTTCAATTTCATTCGCACGACTGATATTCACTGTGTATTCATTGTATTCACACCACTATTATTGCAATGGATATAGAAATGAATGTAAAAACAGAGAGTCAGTCAATCACACCGTCTAAACAAAATGATGATAATGTGGTGGACACGGATGTGGTCGTGGATACATTGGCACAACCATCGGGTTTATCTTACCCAAAAACTGATCATGATGCTTCTGCCTCATATGATGTGGCTATGGAAATGTACGAGTGGTTTGAGCGTATATTTATAACACTATTGAAGATAGTGATGAGCATTGCTATACTGATACTAGTGGAACAGATTATGATCATGATGATAACCTATCAAACAACCATGGATCAATCTGTCGATCATCATGGTTATTTAATAGATATCCTAATTGTTATTTTACCAACACTAGTGTCCGCTCAGTTGACGATACATGTGATCAACCATTGGTCGTCCGAATCGATGTTTGTGGCAATTATTGGCACTATTTTTGCTGCCGACCGATGGAGACAACTGTTGTACTCTATATGTAATTAATCAAAATAAATGAGCTTGGCAATATATTTGATTATTACCTTTAGATGCTAATGATACCGGAATTGTAGCCAATTTCCACCTCGTATTTTATGGTTTTGAGTTTTTGTTCATTATTATATCAATTTGTATGCAATGTTTTTTGGGTGCTATTCGTTGGATTAAAACAAGGTAATTATTAAAAATATAATTAAAAAATATATACAATTGATTAATTATTGTTTTAATAGAACTAAATTTATTGGATTTTGAAATGCATTGGCCCTAGAGTTTTGTGACATATAATTTATTTGGTAATATGGTATTTGGATATATTAAAACATAATGGTATTTATAATTAATATTGTTAACCAAAAACATTTTATATTTATAAACCAAATAATACTATTTAAAATTGTTATAAAACATTTTTAAAATAATTATTTATTAATATGATTTTATTAAATAACAATTTATAATTTTAAAACTTTTAAAAACTTATTATATTTATTGTTAATTAAACGTTGATTAAAATTTAAATGTTTGCTGTATATTTTTATTAAGTTACTAGTTTTTATTAAGTTATTTATATTTATTCTTCATCATTAATTATGAATACTAATACTATCAGTTCTATGAGTTATAATAATTTAAAACTAATTTAAACTTATCACTAATGATTAATTAAAATGAATAAATAAATGTTTGTGTGTAAGTAATGATTATTAGTAATAATTTATTACCTTACTTAAATTAAAACCTATTAAATATTATAATCATTAATACATTTTGGTAATAATTTCCAGCAATAAAGTGAACACAATATGTATAATACAAAATCACAGCCAAATCTACGACAACACGAACTGTCCGTATCGGCGATCCGTAGATCTTCAGCACCGGCTATACATTGGTCTCCCGTTTACAACACCTCCAGTATTGACAACACGTTGACTGCAAACCCACGGACAGCAACGGCACCACAACTCACACCCGACGGCGCACACCATATACCGTATGCCGACCAACAAGTTATTGAAACAGATGTGAAAATAGTTGGTGTGTTCACTAAACTAATTGATAATAATGTGATGAACACGGCTGTAGCAGTAAATATTGTGAGACCAAGTGATTATAATACCATTCAATATCCAACAAATGTAACCTTAGAATCAGTAAAATGGCCGATATTAATAATCAAAATATTATTAATAATTTTTGTGGTTATTGGAGTTCTAGTAACATTGACATTAGTTGGAGCAACTATTTACTACAACATTATATTATCGATTTTTTTAAAAATTGTAATCCTCATTCCGATCATTATCGTTATTATGGTCATTGTTATTATTGTTATTATCATTATTATCATTAACTGATAATAAATAATGGCAATATTTTGAATTATAATCTCTAATTATTGTATTATTATTTATTCAATAATTATTTAAATTCACTGCAAATTAAAGTTATTAAATTATTTTTGCTTATTAATAAATTTAATTATTATATCTAATTATACCATTGTTTATTAATAATTAGATTAATCATGGCATAAATTCTATTCATATCGGGTATTAATGTCTAGTGTAAATACACTTATGTAAATAAACACAAATATATCAGCATAATTCATCTGGTAATTTAATAGTACTGCAATAGACTGCATAAACAAATCATGTTGTTTTAATTTAAAACCTTTGAATGCAATATATTAAACTACATATTTAAGTATTGCACATATTGTATGAAAGATTATTTCGTGGTGAAACATTAAATAGTTTAAAACATTAAAATTTTCTAATAGTATTATACAAGTATATAACGTGAACACTTTACTTTAAAACAAACTTGCTAATCTGTTGTAATGGAATTCAAACAAGTTTGGAATTCAAACTTTGTCAAGCAACTTCAAAACAACCAAGGCAAACCCTGGACATTGCCATTATGGTTTAATGGAGTATTCAAAATACTATTGAAGGCAGAGATGGCTATCGCTGTATTAATTCTATTAAAGTTTATTGTGACCATGGTTGTCAAAATTGAATTGTCTGCCTCACCAATCAATTCATACTATTTAACTGTAATGGCATTTACGAGCCTTACTCTACCGACCCTATTGTCCGCTCAGTTGACTTTAACTATTGTCGCAAACTATGTGTTCAATAAGACCACCATGGTTGTGTCCCTAATTGGTACACTTTTTGTAGCCAACCAATGGATTTGGGTTTTGTATTTATTATGTATAAAATATTACATTATGCTCAATATGTTTATATATTACTATGCTTATTAATTATATTGTATTTTTGTATAATTATTATCATATTTTAGTTGTCGAAGAGGGATTGGCTCGCTATTTGCACATTGACCATTATGGCACCAAATGGCAAGCAATTATTATGTTGGATCTAATCGCTGTATCGTTTGCAATGCAATGCACTTTGTTTGTTACCCGATGGTCATCAAACAAGATATAAATTGTCTGGTTTAAATTAAAAACTTTTACAACTATTATAAAAATTTTTTAAATTATTTTATCGGATTATTATCCTATTTAATCAATTTGTATTAAAATTGTTTTTAAAAATATTGAATTTAAAATTAATTAAAATATTTGTAATTTAGATCTTAATATTAAACTTTAATAAAATATTTGTAATCCAACTCCCAAAACACGAAATTATTTTTATAATATTTTTATAATTTAACAATTAACTATAATTATTTGTTTTTATTGAAAATTCATATGCAAATTACATTATAAGCAATTTTAATAACAATTTTAAATCATAATTTCAGATAGACTTTGTACATTGGGTAACAATTAAAGTACATTATAAATTACTATTAATGTTAATACATGTAGTAGTAGACAAGTAAACAAGTTTAAATAAAAACATAATTCATCCGGTAATCCAAAACTATTGCCATATGTAAACAAATCATATTGTTTTAAGTAACTTGCATTTATTTATTGGCAATAATTTTATGTGTGTAAAGCTATTAGAATTATTTTATCTATATAAACATTTTAAGCTTAAACCAATTCAATACAATCCTAAAAGTATTGTAACCTGGACACTTTTTTGTACTACTAATAAATTATTATGAAGCCCACCGGCCAAGAATTTAACAAGAAATTTTACCGCCAAGAGATACCATGGAAATTGGCTTATTTACCCATGTCCAATACTGTTACCACGATGGCAAACAACATTGGCAATCACTATTCAACCAGATTAATATTTCGTATGGTGACCATGGTCGTTGCGCTGCTTGTGTTGGTGCAATTGATACTATTTTTAAGCTATATGTATGTACATCCGGGAGACACCGGTTACTTGATTGGTCTAGCTTATATGGTGATTGCCGTGCAGACCACACTGACCATTCAATTGACCTCGATCATTGTCCGTAATTACACTCATTGTGATTATATGGGCTTTATGTCAATTATGGGCACTATTTATGTGCTTTGTTTGTGGGTTACTTTCCACGTGATAAGTATGAATAAAAATCTACAATAAAATTGTAATATTTAATAAATAATTATATATTTATTTCAGTACATTATATTATATCCCCGTACGGCTATATCATGACCTCGGTACTTGTAATGGCTATTGTAGTGGCTATATTGGTGGTCATATCCCTGATCATTCAGTGTTATCTCTTTATTACTGAAGCGCTTTACAAATCAGGAAGATTGTTTAATGTTTAAATATAAATTAATTCTAAAACTTATTATTATTATTGTACTTAATTAAATGATAATAATAATCTAGCACACCAGAGTAAATCCATTTGTAATTTTTATTAGATTTTGTTGTATTTTTACATTAATTGAGTATGAGTTGCTTGTTATAATTATGTAACCATTTATTTTTAAAGTAAAATTTTTATAAAATATATTTTGTACTTCGTGATCAAACACTATTTGTATAATTATTTTACTGAATTTAATTAAGAATTTATTGTTGTCACTGATTAAAAGTCATTAATATTTCTTTATGTCGCATAAACATTAATATTTTTTCATACATAATTTAATTATTTATTTACTACCAAAACAAGAAAACTACATACTGTACATGTTACATGTAACATGTAGTATATTTAGAAATATTTTTTGTTCCAATAAACGCCTTGTTAAACGTCAAATGCTTCAACATTTTATACTGATATACGGCTGATATACACAATGGTATGCACTCTATGGACACAATCACTGAATATATCACATCCAAAGTGTGGGAACGGATATCATCTGAAATAAAACTAATTGTTTTAAACATACAGTCAATACAATCACTACATTTTGCGCAAACATACCTCTAATATAGTTGACTAATACAATCCATACACAAACCAAGCTCATGGTAAACATCAACGACACTGTCATCCATACCTCACTCGACACGTCCGTCAAAGCGGGTGACATACATGTGATGGCTGTGAGGGCCAGCACTGGGCATAACCGCCAATACATGTTAATGTATTGCATCTCTTTATAGCCATGCACTACAATAAATGGTACAATGATGACCATGGCCACTTGTGCCACTATGACCAACATCATCATTAGGTCCACCCGTTGGCGTAGCCAACAGTGCCGTAAGACTCGGCGCTTGTATTTTGGCAGTGGTTTACGGCGCGGGTGTCTCGTTGTGGTCACGGGTTTGCCATTTGTGTACACGTGTTGGTCGTTGAGGTCAGGGCTCAGGTCAATGACGGGCGCGATGTACACAGTAGTGGCCGGTTGTGAATACCCGAGCGTACAATTCACCACACAATCACCAGTTGAGTCCATGCCTTAATCTAGTGTTGAATGACCTGACTTTTTGAAATGCGTTTACTATAGCAATAGAGTACAGTGTACTGACTCGTGAGTACACTAATCAAAAATTATTCATTGTAGTCAATTTTTTGTTATCAATGTAATATAACATTATTAATGTTTCATGACTATTTATAGATATGAATTATAAGCTTAGCCCGTTGTCAATCTATTGTAAATTAATGTTAAACACTATAATCAGTGTTATTTTTTGTTAGGTTAGGTGGGGATAGGTATTTGAATAAAAAGTTAGGTACCTGCCATGAAACTTGTAATAGCATAATTTATTTTTAAAATCACAATACATAACTAACTTATATAAAATGACTACTTTGCAATTTTAAACGTACAATATAAGTAGTCAGTAGTATAGCCCAGACGCCGTCATTTCCCGTGCTGACCAACTTTGGTCAGAGCCGCGGAGGCCCCGAAAACAGGTTTCGGGTGTTTGACCCACTTTTTATTACCATAGTAATGTATGGA